TACCCTTCCTAAAATAGTTCTATTATCCAACTAAAATGTTATACACCTATCCCTCCCAGTGTAGTCATACCATCCAACAGCTTTGTTGTAACACCTACCCTTCCTAAAATAGTTCTATTATCCAACTAAAATGTTATACACCTACCCTTCCCAGAGTAATTTCATTATCCAACTGCTGTGTTATACACCTACCCTTCCCAGAGCAGTTCCATTATCCAACTATCATGTTATACACCTACCCTTCCCAGAGTAGTTTCATTATCAAACTGCTGTGTTATACACCTACCCTTCCCAGAGCAGTTCCATTATCCAACTATCATGTTGTACACCTACCCGTCCCAGAGTAGTTTCATTATCAAACTGCTGTGTTATACACCTACCCTTCCCAGAGTAGTTCCATTATCCAACTATCATGTTATACACCTACCCTTCCCAGAGTAGTTCCATTATCCAACTATCATGTTATACACCTAGCCTTCCCAGAGTAGTTCCATTATCCAACTATCATGTTATACACCTAGCCTTCCCAGAGTAGTTCCATTATCCAACTATCATGTTATACACCTAGCCTTCCCAGAGTAGTTCCATTATCCAAGTATCATGTTATACACCTAGCCCTCCCATCCATTCCACTACAAAACTTGTATTATGACTTGGAATAATGCTCTTGTAATTTGGTAATATGCATGTTTTATATATTTTCCATAAGAAAATAAATCAAACAAATATCTTTAAATGATTTCAACAAATGCATTTAAAGATAGCCGAATATCTGTCAAGAAAAAAGTATATAATAAAAAAATTGTTAAAAATGTTTGTGACTAGCTTGATAGATAAATACTAAAATTTGACAACATAAAATCCAAAATACTCATTTAAAAAAATAACTACAACTTACCAATGGAACACTCACTTCTTCTTCACGACATCTCTTGTGAATTCTTTCCAGAACAACTTCAGGTTTAGTCTGCAAGTAAACTGTATGATCATAAGAATGGTTATTGCTAACAAAGTCAAAGTATTATAAACATCACTAAACCCTACTAAAAGTAAACACTACAAATAGTTTAATAAAAAACAATTATATATTTCACAAGAACCTGATAGTTATTTTGGCCACTAGGTAAGGAGTGAAAGCTGTTAATGACAAAAACTTATAAAAGCAACATAGGGGAAAGAAGAGTTAGCAAAAATAAAAATACAAAAAAATAAAAACTATTAAAAGTAAATATGAGGAAGAGCAAACATAAGATAAGTGGTTAACAAATAAAATAAAAGTTATTAAAAACAAATTTCAATAGCAACATTAGGATACAGTTGCAAGGACAATAGATAAATAGCAACACCCAGATAATGTTGCAAGGCCAACTAAATAGCTAAAGTCCATGCAAAGCCTGTGTTTATTGTAGAAAATTCTGCACACGGGAAACTTATGTTGTAATGAGTCAGATCAGAGCACTGAAAAGCTCTGGTGGATCATTCTCCTCAGAGATTCTCAAATGTTCTTTAAGCAATATCGATTTTACATTTCTCTTTTGACTGCAGTCACATTCTCCTGTGACTTCTGAGTCAAAATATACATGCATTCACTTGCTCCATAATTTCACCATTTTTCATAATTTTGATGAAAATATGCTACTTTTCAACTAGGAGAAACTTGTTATGTTCAGGATTCATCACCAAGTCTAGTCACTTGCTTCTTTATATATTCATCCACTGAGCTTTCAGTGTTCCCTTTAAAACTAACAAGTATGACCATACCACATACTACAAGTTCATCAAAATATTGTTTCTGATGGGAAAATTCTGTGTGAAGTCTTCTAAACCCTCCCTCATGAAACTTTATTTATACAGATTGAAAAAACTAGGGAACAAAATATATTCCCCTCTGATGTTTTGGTGATTTTCAACCAGTCAAAAAAACTTTCCTGCTACTTCGTAGCAGCATCATACTTCAGATCACAAAATCTATGCTATACATTTTTCAGAAACATAAAGGAAAGCTGTAGATGCTCCATGGCTTCATCAAAATCCTCAGGTTGAAACTTTTATTTTGTGTACATAACTTTCTTTAACGACACACACACAGATAAACAGTAAGAACTGTGAAATAATATGACTTAGAAACACCAAAGTATAAAAAGGTAGCAACAGAGTTGCTGCATCTGGTTATACAGGAATGAAAACATTTCCCTTAGTGTTATAAAAATACTTTCAGGTTAACATTTTAGTCATGGCTCATCTAGTACAGGATAACAAGGTAGTAGGGAAATAAGGTTAATCCATAGGAGAAAGTAGAAGACTGGGGAAGTAAGATAAGTATGTAGGAGAAAGTAGAATGCTGTGGAAATAACATAGATCTGTAGGGGAAAGTAAAAGGCTGAGGAAATTAGGTAAGTCTGTAGGAGAAAGTAGAAGGCTGGGTATAAGTCTAAAAAGAAGTAGAAGGCTCAAGTGTGTTCAGAATGCTCCTATTTTTCTTTATAAGAACATGTAATAAACATCTTTAGCTAAACATGGGAAAAAGTCTATACTTTGCAAGGAAGCTTGACCGTAATAGAAATCAAATAATGTGAAATCAGATTTCATGAGCTTAATTTTTGTAATTTTCTTCTTTTAGACACTTGTTAATATTGATTCTACTAACAGTAGCCGAAGTTTCAGTTCAATAAATATGTGGGAATCTTCTTTAAAAACAGTTTGATTATTGCAATCTTTAAACATTTACCATTCTACAGTTGAATAGTTTTGAGAATTATTTTCCTTTGAATAAACACAACTGGAATTCGTATATCTAACTCGGGATCTAATTTACAAGATATTGATGTTTTATCTATACATTACTATAATGTAGGCTTTTTATACACATTGTTCCTTTACAGATTTGTTTTGCTAACAAAAATTATCAATATTCAGCAGACTGCTAAACATGTTAAAAATCCAGATAAAAGTGTACAATAAATGTTCTTTTTCTCATATATAAGAGTTTAAGATTTAATAGTTTTTTTACCTTTTTCTAAGTAATGGATTTAAAGTGTAATCTTTCATTTCCTGATCTCAGTGTGACCCACACACCATTTTCAACACATTTCTGGGTAAGGAATTTTCGTACATGTTACATTTAGTAGTGTTAACTCAGTGATCACACTAGCCTTTTAAACAAATGCCTTCTAACTGCAATACATACTTTTTTTTTTAAATACTGTATCAAAATATAAGATGTACTAGAGGATTTTACAACGTGATTAATATTTCACACATGCTGTAGCAATATGGTCAGTTTTAATAGAGATTATTATTTCACTTTACTTACTGAAGATATGTCACCAAACTCACCAATCAAGTCTAAGTGAACATCTTCATTATTAACTAGCCAATCAAACCATTCACTCAGAACAATATATTCCACTTCTGGCATAGCTCCACTGTAAGAAATAACAGTCATATTGTTTGTATTTCCAACAAAAACATTTTCTTATAGATGGCATTTATAACTGAAGTAGTGAACCTAAAACAACCTATTCCTCAGACCTTTAATTAACGTACATATTTTATTAAGTTTTAAATGCACCAAAAACAATATATTTCACCCAGTAAAAGTATTTTAATTATTATTAATAACTTTTAGTAACAACATTAACAAGAAAACAATATTGTCCTGATATTAATATACCAAAGAGCTTGTGGGTCCATGATTTGTTTTAGTTACAGGGTTAGTAATAATATACATAAAGCACAAAAGTTCAGAAAAGTTACATAATTCAAAAATACATTTAATTACACTTATTACAGCAGGGATTTCTTTTACATAGAAACTGAGTGATTTCACCTCACATTTTTTGTTTGGTTCTTTACACTGAGTTTGTAAAAGAAAAAAAAACCCACAGAAAACTACTTAATTATAACAGAATATATGAGCCATATATAAGCAAGACAGTAGTTTGAGTATTATGCAGAAAAAAACTTTAAATTTTATGCCTTCTTTGTAATAGTATTTAACTATCATTCAGCCTTACTACAAAAGTCATTGTCTGTATGTAAAACATAAGAATTTTTCAATACCATTGTTTAAGTATTTAGTAAAAATGTATATATTTATTTTCCAACAACTTTGTTTTTATGTTTGCTTTGATGTGTACAAAACAAAAATAATTTTTATTCAAAAAGTATGCATTTATAACATTAACTTGTAAAAGAAACAGTTAGCACATAATCACATGAGCTTAAAGCAAACCTTTTGTAGAGATTTTCCACAAAACAGTATTTTGCACTGAATATTGATCTCTCCATGAGCTTGACAGGTGATGTGTGGGATGTTCTGTGAAGGTTAATCATCGTAAGCTGGACGTACGTCTGAAAAGTTAAACTCCACCTTGCAGAATCCTTGTACATTAAACTCTACAGCAAATGATAATAATATTCTATTCATGAAAACACTGTTACTAAAACTCATTAAACAAATCAAATCATTACTATCAGAAGGACTTTTTAAACAAAAGATGCCCAAATTTTGGAAATCACCAAAGACTGTCCGAAAGTAACACTGCTGATGTGCGGAAAAATCCAATGTTATGCTTGAAAGAAATTGTGCATTTTTTCTTAAACATGGAAAGACCTGAGGTGGTCTCTAAAAAGTGTTATGTACCAAAAGTTATGTCCCTTGATTTTTTTTGCTCCTTTTTTTTTTTTGTTAATCTTTCTTACCCAATTTGCGTGTTTGTTATTCATTTTTGAGTAATTATTTTCTTTAGTAAAAACTTTTTTCTGGTGTATATTTGACTGACAATCTATTCTTTTGGGTATTTAATGCTATATTTATTAAGTGAAGTCACTAAAATCTTAAAATTTTGAATAATCCAATTTCAAATTAAATCATAGATGACCACGAAACATTTGATTAATAACTTTTAACTTAATAAACAAAATAAAAAAATGTGATATAAATTTTTCAGTGACTTTAGATAAATGATTATCTTACAAGATAAACTATGTTGTACATGCACTATTATATAATAAATGAACCAAGATTATCAAACTTTTATAGCTTCAATTTTATTTAAAACTTAGACTAACTTTTTTGACCAGTTTCTATAAATGCTCTAAAGGCCAGAGTAAACAAAATGTACTTTTGTCAATATTTTTTCTTTAAAATTCAATTTCCAGGTAATTTTATACTGCATGTTATACTACACTATGGTCTAAACTCCACATGGATTATAACCAATGTTTTCTCTAAGCTGCGCAGCCACACAACAATCAATCAAGTTCTGCACACTTCATTATTCCAGCCGCATACATCCTCAATAATGGTGAGAAGTTTCAACATATTGATGGCCATTAATGACCCAGGCAGTTGATAGGCCTAAAGCCCAAATAACTAATTGGTAGCACTGCAAAGTGATCTAACAGGGTCGATGGTCTTAAAATAACCCCGCCTCTAAAAAAAAATGATAGTGCACATCTGCACATTGCCTTGATACTGGTGCACGTGAAAAATTCATTCCACACATTAACTGAAAAAATTAGAGGGAACATTGATTATTACATGAAGGAAAACAGTATAAAAAGCTGAAGATCATAAAATCACATATACATGTAGTTTTATATATAAATTTTAGAACTCATTTTTTTTATGATGATACAAGTTTATATAAATTCTTATCCAAAAATTACAAAGTAAAACAAAATACAGTTACTAATAATTTGAATGTGTACAACTTACAAGTAAAGTATTTCAAAGCAAACAAGCCTATTTTTTTGGTTATTTGTATAATATTTTAAGTTCATAAGCTTAGAGTATGCAATAATTTATAGTGATTAATGGTCCTTTTCATGATTTGCATTCTCATACAGTTTCAAAAACTGTAATTATTTTATTTCTACAATATGCAATGATGACAAAACAGTGAAAATAACCACAAAAACATGTATATTTTTATTGTTTCTTTCTCAGTGCTTTTATTCTTTATATAAATCATGGTTTTATTGCTTTAAAAAATTCAAATTATCAAACTTACCAGCAAATTATGCCCTTTTACATTTCTCCACCTCTCTACAGGTTCTTGTAATACCTAATATATTTAAACATATACATAAATAATAACAAACCATGACAAAACATGGGAATGCAAATCATTTTCTTATTTTAGAAGATGTGGCTTATAGTAAAGTATCAGCACCATAACCATATAAATGAAAACCCAGTATATATTACCGGAAAACAAAGTTAGTTTCATTCCTAGTTGGATGATTAAGCTTTAGTTAAGCATACACAGCCTAAATTGCTACAACTTATGCACTACCAAAATATTAGGTTGTCAAGAAATTAATGTCGCATTTTGGAACACTTTCATTACCCCCCCCCCCCAAAAAAAATGTACATCGTGTATAGTAGTTAAACGAACTGCCTAAATGTCACATTAGTGTAGCCTATATAATATGTAAAGTTTAGTATACTCTAATCCCTTATGGTGATGGCACACGATGACACACACATTCGGCATGTAATGCTGTTCAAATACAAGAAGGGAAACAATGCCTCTGTAGCCATAAAGAATATCAAAGAAGTTTATGGAAATGTTTGAACATTTGTAAGTGTCAATGATGGTTCAGCAAATTTTGCTCAGGTGACTTTAGCCTTAAAAACTGTGATGGCAGGGACTGACATGTTGGAATTGATATGGATGCTCTGAAGATGCTTGGCGAGTCTAACCTACGGCAACACACTCGTGAAATGGCCCTGAATTTGCATGTCTGATGAAACAATACGTAAACATCTTAGGAATATGGGAAAACTTCATAAAAAAAGGTGCTTGGGTGCCTCACGAACTTTCTGATGATCATCGTTTCCAACGTGTGAATGTTGCTTTGTCTCTTCTGGCATGTAATGTGCATGAACCATTTTTGGACAGAACTGTCACCAGTAATGAAAAATTGATTTTCTATGTAAATATTAAATGCCAAAAACAATGGCCCAGTCCTAGACAAAAACCACTTCCAACCCAAAACCTTCTCAATCCACAGCAAACTGTCAATGCAGAGATCTATAGTCAGCAACTAGAATGTTTAAATCAAGCCTTTCATCAGAAACACTCTTCACTCGTCAATCAGAAAGGTGTTCTTCTTCTCCACGACAATGCACGTCCACATGTGGCACGTTTGATGCATCACAAGATTATGGA